TTTTATAAATTAGAACTGTGCTTTTTTAGATTTTTTTAGAGCTTACGCTTGGCAAATTTTTTTTTCTGTTACTGTGTTCACTAACAGAAGTGATTCTAAAACCTGGAGACCTTTTTCAAAAAAAAAAAATGCAAGTTTCTGAAGCTTGTAAATAAAAAATATTGTTGCTTACTATTTGAAGATTTTGCAGCAAGGATAGACAAAAGAGTGAATTTTTCTTTTTATAGCTGCTCAACAAAAGTAAATTTTTTAGTTGTATATTCTAAAAAAGTTTTTTTAACAGATAAAAATATTTTTTTTTTAATATAGCACAGTGAATTTTATGTTAACTTTAGCAGCACTTCCGTTTCTTTAAAACCAAAAAGACCATTATTTTAAGCAGAGAAAAACTTTTCTTCTTTTTCCTTTCAAATGTTAAAAAAACAATTGGATTGTTTATGGCGGAGTGATACTTTGAGATACATAACGAAATAGCTTTGTTTTTTATTGTAAGTAGGTAAGAATTACTCAGAAGAGCACTCGAGATTTTCTGAAATACGAAGACATTGGTCTATCATAAAGTGTTATTTGTGGGCAGCTGATGAAAGAGATGTAGCATAAAATTTCTAATAAGAAAAAATAAATAATAAAATAAAGTATGTGGTAAGCTGTGTAAGGGGTCGTGTCATAAGTGAAAATCTTTATTGATAATTCTATTGACTGCAAAAATTCAGATTAAAGCAGACGCGAAAAGCTTTGCAGAGAGGGAAATGACATTTATATCAGCGGAACCGTCTGGTTTATTTTTAATGGAAAACTTAAAAGAGAACCAAATTTACATATAAAAATTCATCTTTCAGAAAATCTACATCAAAATCCCGCTTTGTTGAAGCCGATAGAGGATGAGTTGGGCATTTCAGGATGCATTAAATTGCCGTCATAAAGGTGAAATATGAACGGAACAAGAGGGAGGAAGGGTAGAGAGTAGGGGGTAGAGGAAGACGGGGTTTAATTAGTGGATAAAAGAGACATTTCTTGTAGATAATACGAGGCAAAATTGAAGACATAACTTCAGTATTTGTAATCAGCGGTGAAGGCTTAATCTTCTTCTGAAGAATTATAGAAGTGGTAGCAAAAAAAAAAATTTGGTTTATCTGTTGTTCGAATGACAATAATTTTACTTGTTAAATTACTTTTTTTTATAAACATAAAAACCACCTTTTTTTTACGATCTTTTCTTCTCGTAACAGATGGAAGAATTCAACTTTTTTTTTTTTTTTTTTTTTTT